AGACATATATATACATACACATATACACATACATAAACACACATTCATACACATATATACACACATAAATTTACATACACATACATATATATTACACATATGCACATAATTATACATATACACATAAATTTATATACATATATATATACATACACATATATTCATATACATACATTTACATACACACATATATACATATACACACACATACATAAACACACATTCATACATATATATACACATATAAATCTACATACACATACATATATATACACATACACATAAACACACATTCATACACAAAATTTACATTCACATACATACACAACACACATACATAAACACACACATACACATATACATACATAAACACATATACATACGCATACACATATACATACACACATACACATAACATATTCACATTCACATATATATATATACACAACACATACATATACAAATCCATATACACGATATATATAGACATACCTTGGCGAATTTTGAAGAAAAATAATTTGTTGGAGAAGATTGGAGAAGATTGAGATTTTTTTTTAAAAAATTTCGAAGTCCGGAGGAGAAAGACGAAGTCGCAGCTTTTATTAAGTGTTGCGACGGAAATTGGAGAAGATTGGACACATACACACATACACATCGAAAATAGCGGAAAAAATAAAATTTAGATTTGGGACTGAAATTTCTATCGCAAATCCGTCGCAAAACAAAAAATAAACCGCGAAAATTTGAAATTTTTCATCGAAAAAAAAAAATTATGATTTGCGACAGAAATTTCTGTCGCAAATCTGTCGCAAATCCGCAATTTTAAAATTTCTGTCGCAAATAATGTTTGGTTCTACGACGACAACGTTTCCGTCGTATTCCGTCGCAAATTTGCGACGGATTTTGCGACTAATTGAGAAGGAATAAAAATTTTCGTATTCCGTCGCAAAGTCGTCGAATTCTGTCGTAATTTCTTTGCGACGGAAAAATTCCGTCGCAAATTCCATCGCTATATTAAGATTTTCTTGTAGTGGCAATATTTATAATACATATATAACATGACTGAAAATATAAATGTAATAAAATGATTGAAAGACAAAAAAAATTACTAAAAATTCTTCTAATAATTTTGTTGTACCACTTCACAAATTCTTTAAACTTTCTATTTTTTTCTTCCTTATTCCTAATTCACAATCAACTGTAAACACAGAGATGAAATCCTAATCCCAACTCTAAACTCTCAACCATATTCTATAAATGATAAATTAACCAATTGTAAATCATGAAAAATTGAACATGTTCTAAATATTGAAAAATAGAATGGGAAAATTAAATAAGAAGAAATATAAATAGAATCCCATAGCGAGATTCAGGATGCATTCAGACAAGAATCCTTTTATCATTTTTCTTGCTTAAAAATATCACAAAAAAATTACACAAACAAACCATGGAGCACCAAGTAGAAACCAACAAGACAACGTCATTGGCGTTCAAAGCACGTCGCCGGGAGCCGGAGCTAATCTCTCCGGCAAAGCCAACGCCACGAGAGCTGAAGATCCTCTCCAACATTGATGATCAAATCGACTTAAGACGATATTTTCATGGTATTTTTTTCTACAAATACAACCCTTCGTCCATAATCAAAGGCAGCTCTGACCCCGTCCAAGTGATCCGCAAAGCCCTGGCCGAAACACTCGTTTACTATTACCCGTTCGCCGGCCGACTTTGGGAAGGGCCTAACCGGAAGCTGACGGTGGATTGTAACGGAGAAGGTGTATTGTTTGTCGAGGCAGATGCTGCCGTGGCTCTCGTTGACTTTGGAGAAGATCTTCATCCCCCTTTCCCTTGTTTAGAGGAGCTTCTGCTTGATGTCGAGGGTTCCATAGGGTTTCTTGATTCTCCCTTGCTTCTTCTTCAGGTTACATCACATATGTGGACACATAACTACTTCTAAAGACTGATGTTTTAGAAACTGATTTTAAAAAAAAAAAGTGTATGTATCAATTTCATGTTTACAACTCTCAACTAAGAGTATGGACTATGGAGTGGTCGGATAAGTCCTAATTCAATAACATATGACACTTATCTCCTAAAACGGTGCAGGTTACGCGGTTAAAATGTGGAGGTTTTATCTTCGGCGTCAGCTTTAACCATGTCATGTGTGACGGTGGCGGTTTCAGGCTTTTCTTAAGAATGCTCGAGGAGTTGGCGCGTGGCTCAAACGCGCCCTCCATTCCACCAGTCTGGGACCGTCACCTCTTGAACGCAAGGGACCCACCGTGTGTAACACACGTGCACCACGAGTACGACGAGGACGCCATCGGCGATGCCGGTGGTCCCATCCCGGAGGACCCCATGGTTCAACGCTCGTTCTTCTTCGGCCCGAAAGATATCTCAGCCATACGCAGACTCGTCCCGTCCGATCTCGGCGGCCGCATCACCACCTTTGACCTGCTGGCTTCATTCCTCTGGCGTTGCCGAACCATCGCATTGAGACCCCTCCCAGATGCCAAAACGCGACTCTTTCTCACCGTGAATACACGTTCCTTTTTTCGCAACCCGCCGTTACCATCGGGCTACTACGGGAACGTGATTTGTTCTCCGGTGGCCATAACGACCGCGGGAGAACTTTCCGAACGACCTCTGGAGTTTGCGTTAAGGCTGGTGAGAGAGGCGAAATCCATGGTGACAGAAGAGTACGTCAGATCCTTCGTCGATCTATTAGCAAAGATAGGTCTGCGAAACGCGGCGTTACGGGACACCTACATTTTATCCGACACAAGGCGTCTCGGTTTCGATGACGTGGACCTTGGGTGGGGCCCGCCGGTGTACGGAGGGTCGGCGGAGGGAGGCTATTGGGGAGTTAACTGGCTCCTGCCGTGCAAGAAGACGAACGGTGAGACCGGAACCGTCGTGCAAGTTATATTGCCCGAACCAGCTATGGAGCGGTTCGCGGAACAGCTCGCTCTTGTCTTCGGCGACGATGGAAGTAGGAAGCCTATCAGGTCTTCCCTCTAGAATTAAGTGTTATGCATTTCATATTAATAGTTGATGGACAACAATAACATTGATATCGAATCAATTCTTGACTTTATATTATATAGTTCTGTTGTTTTGTATTGGTTGATAATAAATCAGAAACGTTTTCTAGTAAACTTATTTTTGTTGGAGAAACGAAAATTTTATTAACATATAGATATATTTTAAAATTTTATTTATGGTGTTGGAGTGGCTGCTGTTAGGGTTCGACATTGGTTTGTGTGCGTCTAAGGCTGTTTCTTCTTCGGCCCTAGAGAGATCTCAGTTCGTACGTCGGCTAGTCCCAGCCAAGATCCACGTCGCCACGTCTGAACTGCGGACATCACTCGTTGCCGAACCATCGCCCTAAACCCTTTCCCACATGCCAAAACGCGAGTCATTGTAACGACCCGAGACTATTACAAAATGTCAAAACTATCCTCATATACCAACACGACACCTTTTAGCATGTTTTGTCATCACACATATTTCGGAAAATATTTTCCACGAGATTACTTATCCTAGGACTACTCCAAAGCGAGCACACTTAACTTTGGAATTCTCTCGAGATGGACAACTGAAAAAGTAGATAAATTTTTGTTGCTATGAATAACTCAATTAATTTCTTTAAGTTATCTTTGACTGTATAGTCTTATATCTACACAGCCCTCGGATCTCTTCCATTCCGGTGCGTTCGATTCATCCCTATACACCCTACCCAGAAGTTCGTTAGTAATCGTTTTTTGTCCATACCTCTCGCACTGGCGATCACTCACCACCTTCCTATGGTATACTGGACTATCACAATCATGATCGTCGTAAATCCACCACGTACCGTTTGTAGCACCCCGCCGTGAGCATTGAGCTACCATGGGAACGTGGTTACGGCTCCCGCGAGAGAACCCACAGAACGACCTCTAGAATTCGCATTGAGGCTGGTGCAGGTGGCAGAAATCGATTTCAAGACATAATGGTTCGGTTATAATATTTAAAAAATCAATTCATTTATAATTAAAAATATTCAAATAAAATATAATATAAAATATTATCATAACTATTTTAACATATAAAATAATAATATCTAAATTTATATTTTGATATAAAACTATTAAATAAATAAAGATCGTTTTTTATTAGCAAAGATAGGTCTGCGAAACGCGGCGTTACGGGACACCTACATTTTATCCGACACAAGGCGTCTCGGTTTCGATGACGTGGACCTTGGGTGGGGCCCGCCGGTGTACGGAGGGTCGGCGGAGGGAGGCTATTGGGGAGTTAACTGGCTCCTGCCGTGCAAGAAGACGAACGGTGAGACCGGAACCGTCGTGCAAGTTATATTGCCCGAACCAGCTATGGAGCGGTTCGCGGAACAGCTCGCTCTTGTCTTCGGCGACGATGGAAGTAGGAAGCCTATCAGGTCTTCCCTCTAGAATTAAGTGTTATGCATTTCATATTAATAGTTGATGGACAACAATAACATTGATATCGAATCAATTCTTGACTTTATATTATATAGTTCTGTTGTTTTGTATTGGTTGATAATAAATCAGAAACGTTTTCTAGTAAACTTATTTTTGTTGGAGAAACGAAAATTTTATTAACATATAGATATATTTTAAAATTTTATTTATGGTGTTGGAGTGGCTGCTGTTAGGGTTCGACATTGGTTTGTGTGCGTCTAAGGCTGTTTCTTCTTCGGCCCTAGAGAGATCTCAGTTCGTACGTCGGCTAGTCCCAGCCAAGATCCACGTCGCCACGTCTGAACTGCGGACATCACTCGTTGCCGAACCATCGCCCTAAACCCTTTCCCACATGCCAAAACGCGAGTCATTGTAACGACCCGAGACTATTACAAAATGTCAAAACTATCCTCATATACCAACACGACACCTTTTAGCATGTTTTGTCATCACACATATTTCGGAAAATATTTTCCACGAGATTACTTATCCTAGGACTACTCCAAAGCGAGCACACTTAACTTTGGAATTCTCTCGAGATGGACAACTGAAAAAGTAGATAAATTTTTGTTGCTATGAATAACTCAATTAATTTCTTTAAGTTATCTTTGACTGTATAGTCTTATATCTACACAGCCCTCGGATCTCTTCCATTCCGGTGCGTTCGATTCATCCCTATACACCCTACCCAGAAGTTCGTTAGTAATCGTTTTTTGTCCATACCTCTCGCACTGGCGATCACTCACCACCTTCCTATGGTATACTGGACTATCACAATCATGATCGTCGTAAATCCACCACGTACCGTTTGTAGCAACCCGCCGTGAGCATTGAGCTACCATGGGAACGTGGTTACGGCTCCCGCGAGAGAACCCACAGAACGCCCTCTAGAATTCGCATTGAGGCTGGTGCAGGTGGCAGAAATCGATTTCAAGACATAATGGTTCGGTTATAATATTTAAAAAATCAATTCATTTATAATTAAAAATATTCAAATAAAATATAATATAAAATATTATCATAACTATTTTAACATATAAAATAATAATATCTAAATTTATATTTTGATATAAAACTATTAAATAAATAAAGATCGTTTTTTTCTAATGTTTATATCATACAAACTTTTAAAACAATAACAACAATGATAAAATGCATTTAAAATATAAAAAAAACAATGATTAAATCAAGAATATAAACATTTATATAGGTATATAAATATATAAATGAAGATATATAAACAGTTCGGTTCGGTTCGGATTCGGTTTATAAAAATTTATAACCGAACCGTTAATAATTTTTAATCGGTTCGGTTCGGTTCAGTTTCAGTTATTTCGGGTTTTAAAAAATTATAACCAAACGGTTATTTAATTTTATTAAGTTCGGTTCAATTCGGTTTGGATATCATCGGTCGGGTTCCGTTCGGTTATTTTGCCGACCCTAGCAACTGTCATACTCGTATGCCCAAAATCCCCTTTGCAATTTCATCTCGAAAGTTTTCTCTCTCTTCTCCGATGGCGGTTTTCCCCTAAACCTCGTTTGCATGGTGAAATGGCTACTTCAAGGGACGTCCCAGCCATCGCCGGAAAAAGCTAAGACCTCGAGAAGTAAATTGTTTTAGTCGCTTTCCCCTTTTTTGATTTCAAAATTAGCATTTCGGCGTTCCTCTGACTTCCATGGCGGGTTCTCAGAATATGATAATTTGCCGTTTCCTTTGTTATCCTTGATTTCTTTTCTAGGGACTTTGGGGAAAATGATCGGATTTTGTGGAAAATTTTGTCATGTGGGTTCTGTAACACTATGTCCGTTCGTGGGTTTTCGAAGAAAGTTCAGGATATTCGAGAGAAAAGATAGAATCTTGAACTGCATTAGCTTGCAGGAAATTGAGATTTTTCTTTACGTTTCCACTTCAACATGTCAAGAACGGCAACTGTCGTGCGAAGCTTCGTTGGTAACATTTTTCTAATCTGATCCATTATCATGCTAATTTTTACTTTTCAGTCAATTGTCTCTTTCGGTGTTTGTAGTCTTAAATTGTATTGAAGCACGAATCGTATTATCTTATATAAACCCTAACTGTATAGTTTTAAATTGTATTGGATTAAAAAGAAACGCGTGGCTTCCCTTTATATGTCTCTCTACTTGTTATGATTGAGAAGATCTTTGAGTTATTCTGAGAAAATTTTAAATTGACAAGTCAAAGGCTCAAAGCTTCTGTAAAAAGATGGTCTCTGGCATATTTGCTTCTGGTTTGTTGTATCATATAGCCATTGGTCATGTTGGGGCATTTTTAAAGGTCCTATATGAGAAGAGAAACGCTAGCTTTATCCTTTGTATCATTTTTCATGTTTTTGTCTTGCATTGCATGCATCTTTGTCAGTTGTTTCAGAGCATTGCAAGAAGGGGATCACCCTTCGTTTGAAAACAGCTTCACATCAAAGAATGGATGTCAATCAATTAAAACACATTATACATGGCATGTACAGATCTTGTGATTCAAACAATGGAGGAGGTATTTTGTCTTATAGTTTCTTTCTCCAATTGCTTGTCCCTCAGCTCCTAGTGAATGGTATAATCTTCTCCAATTTTATTTCCTTAATTATAATGAACCATTTGACAAAATACCCAGAATATTTGGCATCTTTCTTGTGGATATAGAATCCTTGGTCTTGGCCCAGAGGTTGTTTTGCACATATGTATCAGTGCAAGCTACCAGTTAGCACAATGGGATAGTCATGTTGTCTGCACTGCTCCGATGATTATGAAATGTAGTTGTCTTGTCTGAATTGATATTACAGTTTCTTCTAGTCTTCCTCCTTTCCTGAGGTTTATATCAGACACGACATACATTGATCATTTTCACGATGGATATTAGTAACCTAGGATGTAGAACATCTCTTCTTAAATGAATATGGGCCACACAATTGCTCCTTTTTGGCATCTTTCAATTGCTTGACCTCTTGATATAGAATAGAGCATATGCTTAGAACTCAATTAGCGACTTGATTTCCCTTAACCTCTTGTGCTTTTCAGATCGAAGAAGCAAAACTACTATATTCCCAAGTGCAGCATGAAGTTGCTATCAACCTTGCTAGTGATGTCTTACAGAACGACCAATTGAAGGAAGAGTCTTCAGAATGTATATCACCTGATTGGAAAGTGGCTGGCGGAAACCAGATCTAGCAAGTAACACTTTTATTTTGGTCCAAGACCAATTTTGTTATGCTGCATCATCACGTCTACAAAAATCTAATCTCGGTTTGTGTTGTATTTTCCTGGAATCTAGTTCTAGAACTATTTAGAGAAGTGTCTCGAGCCTGCAGTTTCACTTGCTGAGGTACAGAGTTCCAAGATGTGTAAAAAGGTGGTAGAAAGGCAAAGTCAGGTTTCGTTCAATCTGACTCATTACTCAGATGCTCTGTTTAAGAGTTACGAGGAAAGACTCTCCTCCAGCGAATGCCAAGTCGCAATGAGACCACAGAAACAAAGGTCGGTCTCTCATTGCTCTGTTTAAGTCTTCCTTGCAATTACTTATGTTGGCTCTAATCTTCTCAATTATACTAAAATGGAATTTTGTGTTGTGTAGCACGACTATATATTTATTTATCTTTTTGTGTAGATATTTTCTTGACCGGAAAGGCTTTTGCTTCTGTCTTTTGCTAATAGTGATCGTATCAACGATAACCAGTGCATTAGAAATTCATTTGTGAAAGATAAATGCCTATATAGGCTATATTTACTCGAGTTCTTGAAAAGTTTTGTTATTTTTGTAAAGATAATTTACTAAGAAGATATTATACACGTTGCAAATCAAGAGAATATGGTAGGGAATAATAATTCTTGACAATAAACAAGATTACAAAGATGTATAGCAGTGATATTATATTTCCGTCTTTTGTGATTGCATTATTTTGATCCATTTTAGATTACATAAATGATGTAAATTGTATACAAAATCATACACAGGGTCAGGAACCAGGGGAGCTCTTCCCTTTTCTTCTTCGTTTTTCTACAAGAACCAAATCAGATTCCACCATTTTCTTATGTCTTTCACTCCAATCCATTTCTGTTGAATATAAAATAAAAATCTTCAAGTTCCCCCTCTTGTTGTTATTTAAGGGTGATGTTTTCACCACATGTTTGACTAAGGCATTGTCTGTTTACGAGCCCTTAGTTCAGATTTATTGGCCAACATCGTTAAATCTTGTATTCTTCGGCGTCATTTTTCATTTTTTGCCTAAAGTTAACTGTATAATACAGAAACGGAGCAAAGGTGGAGCCTTCAAGGCAAGACTGCTCTTGTAACCAGTGGAGCAAGAGGACTCGGGTTCGTCCTTCTTTAATTTATCCGTTTCTTATTGTACAGTGTTGTGCTTTTACTTAAAATCCTGGAATGTTGAACACTATTACAGCTTTTTTTTTAGAAAATGTTTTTTTCATGGTTCTAGATAATATCCACACGTGCGACAATTCCGAATCTCATCTAAACCAAAGTTTACGCGAATGGGGAGAGAATGGCCTTCAAGTGAGTGGTTTAGTCTACGATATATCTTCTCATTCTGAAAGAGAGAAGCTGATGCAGACCGTCTCCTCTCTATTCGGTGGCAAGCTCAACATTCTCGTAAGTCGTCTTACAAATATGATTTCTACAAATATGTTATTTGTTAAAAACATTTGGCCAAGGTTTCCCCTTTCTTGATGCAGATAAACAACGTTGGCGTATGTGTTTCAAAGCCGACAATAGGGATGACAGCAGAAGATTTCTCGTTTCAGATGGTTATGAATTTCGAGTCGGCTTACCATCTCTGCCAGCTCGCTCATCCTCTCTTGAAGGCTTCGGGTTATGGAAGCAACGTCTTCAACTCTTCCATCGGTGGGGTTGTTTCTTCGTGCATTCTTGGATCCGTCTATGGTGCAACAAAAGGTACACACTTCCAACTCATGGTTCAAAACAATGGCAAACCCCACACAGTTTTGCATTTATAAGAATGCCTCCAATCAACGAATTTATAAAACTGTATTTACAAGAATGCCTTCTTCAGTACACCAATCAACGAATTTATTGCCCTAAACTGTATTTACAAAAATCACTGAACTTAAACACTAAACTTTTCAATTTTGACCAAAAAAACACCGAACTTTATTTTCTGTCAAATAAATATTAAACTTTTTAAACGAATCTAAAAAACACTGAACTTTTTAAGTGATCCAAAAAATACATGAACTTTTCTCCGAATATCAAAAAAACACTGAATTTTTTTAGTGATCCAAAAAAATATATGAATCTTTTCCTATTGTCAATAAAAACTAAGTAAAATAATCTGATGTGTTTGCATCTCATTGGATCACGTCAGTCATTTTGTTTATTTTGACAATCGTTGAAGAGTTAAGTGTTTATTTTGTCAAACTTAAAAAGTTTAATGTTTAATTGATAAAATAAAAAGTTCATTGTTTTTTTTGTCAAAATTTGAAAGTTCTGTGTTTTTTTGGGATAAAGAAACAAACCAAGACATTTTTTCATGCATTAAACTAGGATTTCTTGCTACTGCTATCGCCTTTAGTAAACTTCTCCATTTGAACATAAAACATAATTAACAAAATATTAAGAGCGCGAAAGCAAACTAGTATATATGTACGTATATATGAATATATTGTACACATGAATGCAGGAGCCATGAACCAGTTGGCAAAAAAATCTAGCATGCGAATGGGCGGTGGACAACATAAGATCAAATTCAATCGTTCCTGCTGTCATTGCAACCCCCATGAGTGAAACAGTAAGTAAAACCCTGATTCCATGCTTTGCAGTAATATTTCAAAGCTCGATTCATTAATCTTCGATCATCCACACTAGATATAATTTCTGTAATTTGGGCATTCAGCATCTGGGTGACGGCAAATTCACGGAGACCGTGGTCTCGAGAACTCCATTAGGCCGTCTTGGAGAGGCGAAGGAGGTTTCATCGCTCGTGGCGTTCCTGTGTATGCCGGCGGCTTCTTACATAACTGGTCAGACTGTTTGTATTCTCACCATCAATGGCTTCTCCTACCATCCGACGGTGTGAAACCGGTAAAACCGATTAATAAATTGGAGAGGTACAAACATTTAATATATTCATGATATTTTTTGGATAAAATAAGAAAAATAATTGTATAGATTGTAATGAATATTTTTTAATAAAAGTTTTTTTGTTAACGACTAACATCATTTCGATATTTAAATTTTAATAACTTTTTCATTTAACAAATGATTAATGATTTTTCTAAAACAACGTGATATTGTTCTAAAACGTTTGAAAAAAGAAACGAGTTAACAGTGATCTGGTACAACTTTTTAACAATTAATAGCATTAAATGAAATTAAATCTAATGACAATAATTAATCATAACAATGAAACTTAACATAAATTAGAGAATGAAAAAACTCTCATGTAATACAAAATTGATAGGTCACTAGTATTGACGTGGCAACACAACAACCGTCGATCTACGAATTTTGGTTTTAATGCGTTGTTAAATATATCTGTGAAATTTCAACATTCACCTTATCAAATGCCACTGAGAATATTAAAAATGTTTTAATATGGTTGTTATTTATATATATATATATATTTATGAATTTTGAACCGAATTACGACATACTTTTGAAATCTAAAAATAACATATAAACATTCCTTTAACCAGAATAAAAACATCTAAGTTATTTTCCAAAATATCAATCTATCAAGATCTTGGCATATGTATGATTTTGGAGAGACAAAAGCATGTGAGAGATAATGATGGGAGAATCTTACTAAATTTTCAAGTTAATCATAATTATATGAGATTCTTAAGGGTTAATCTTTCAGATCATTACCACATGGGTTCACAATCACATCATTATAATTAAGTCATATGTTTCTTAACATTGCAACATTCATTAATTGTAACCAAAAATTATTTTTCAAAGTACTTTTCTTAGGGTAAAAAAAACCCCGAACATTTACAGAAACTTTCATGGATGAAATGGTTATATATATATATATAGAGCCCGATAATTGGCAAAAAAAAAAATAGCATACATATAGATGTAGATACAAAGGACAAAGATTCTTCTTTCTGTCTAAAATTTTTATTCTAGTTATGTTTTCAGGGCACAGTTGTCTAAAATTTTATTTGAAAATCTTTTAAATTTGAGCAAATCCACATGGAGTGCTTGTAGATTTGTGCAAGGAAGAGACAAAGGTCTCCTAAGCTTGGTAGGTAACCAGTAACCACTATGGCTGCCATTGAAGAGCATATTATATTTTATCTCTATTATCTCCATGTATACTTTTTTTCCTGTCCTGTTTTTTTTTTCTCCCATAGGGACAATGCATTTAGACAAGAATCTTCTCCTTTCTAGTTCATGTGAAAAAACAAAAAACAATAGAATAAAGATAAAATAATAAAACCGTCCATGACTAACCCTACCAAGCTTAGGGTTTCTACGCAAAACCCTAGACATAATAACGCTTATATAAAAGTGGATATTTTTTTCTGGCATTTGCATCGCATGAATGCGTTTTTTTATATGATCGGGGAGCTCTAACTCGATTACAAAAACTGGTTAAAAAAATAAAGATTTTTTTTTTATAATTAGAATGGTTATCCGGACCTTCGATCCGACTACATCCACCCTAGGTCTAGGACCAGTCTTTGTATATGGATCATTTTGGTCCAGAAATTACATCCCTCTCCATCAGTGGAATCGAACCAGGATCTCATGCATACATACAAGAAATATGCTAGTATCATGTAAAAGAAGAGCATATACACCTAAAATCCTCCTCTTTTACATGATATTGATATATTCTTTGCAAATAATATATAATTTGTCAATATCATGTAAAGGAGCATATGTTATGTGTATACAATTATAAATATGTTGTGCATCTATTTAATTTATGTTCGTGGTTGCGTTACTAAGAGCTTAAGAGCATCTAGGCTTGTGGCTCACGGGTTTGCCTAGAAATCGCAAAACAAAGAAATGGAAAAAATATTGGAACAGTTTTTTAAACGATATTACATTTAGTATATTGTATATTAAAGATTAAGATGTGCATTTAAAATGCCAACCAGTGAGGATAAATATCCATATCAAAAAGGTAACCTAGCTGAAAATCATTTCAATAATTGAATAGAATTACAATGATTGTTATGGGTAATTGTATTTTCATATCATACTTCTTTCTCTTGCCCAATGTGATTAATAATTAAATTCATTTATTTTAGTATCCTAAGTTCTATATATATATAACACCGCCATTTCCTTGTAGTCTTTGGAACAATAATTCGAATATTATAAATTGTAAATATATATATATCGTTTTGAGTATGGAATAAACTCGAAGAATAATAACGTTAAAAAAAACAAATCTGTATCAAATGGGCAGACCAAAGAAAAGGACAAAATTAAATTAAGCATGGTTATAGAAATTTGGAAAAGAATAAAAACTTTGGAATTAGAGGGAAAGGAAGGTTTGTTTGTTCACATCGGTATGAGCATCCCTACGTCTCTGTGGAAGTCAGAGTGTCATATTTTAATCTCTTATTGACCACACCCTGTACGTAGAAGATTCTCTTAATCTTTCAAGAAAGTATACATTTCAAGTATTCAATTCAATTTATATTCAAATAACAGAGAAAATAAATGAAGGCAGACCCACATGAGCCGTCTAGAAATATGTGATCTTCATCCTGCAGCTAAAGAACAAATATGCATTCCAGTTAATTTCACATTTTTTTTTATCAAACATTATTATAATTCATATTCTTACAAAAAAAAATATATATGCACGAATCTCGAATTCCCGACAGTCCTTTTCTTGTATTGTATTCTTGTTTTAATGAAAAGATTTACCATAATCCGACAAGACGCTCACATGTCGTTTCATATAATTTTATCATTATCCAACAGACCAAATCTTTAAATTATTTTCACACACACACACATCCACTCACATATAATATATATATATATATATACATACATGTTTAAATACAATACATCTGATATGTTGCTTCAGTTTCGGATTATTTCTGTTTTCACATATAGTATGTATATCCACACATTAACCCTATAGACGTTAGAAATAGTGACCATCAACCCTAAATCCAAACGATAATAACAATAATAATATTAATAATACATTATTTTGAAGTCTTAGCAAGTGCATCATAAACAAGGTGCCCCTATAGACTTAGGGTATAAATGTTCCACTGCACACAAATCCAAACGAGCATAGACATGGGCAAAATTAAAATTAAAAACAATCCAAGTATTAATGTTGGTTTGGTTTGGTGCTTATTTTTTGTGGAACTTTAAAAAAGATTATAAACCCAAAAATAATATTAAATAAATCTAATAACTTAAAAATGATACAGTGGTATTACACATTAGGGGGCTGGGGTCATTAGCTAGAGATTCTAGAAATCTTCGCCCATAAAATAAAAAAATCTGACATTTGCTTCTTAAAGTTACGAATTTTTTTTTCTTCTCTTACTTCATTTTAGTGGTTTCCCTGTTCAAAGAAAGTGGCTTTCTTACCTACAATCATGTGTATCAACAATCGAATTATTTCAATAAATAACAATGTTCAATTTTTCATAAAGTTTTTATCTCAATAAACCTTTATTTGAACAAAAAGCTTTATAGAGCTGATGATTAAAAAAAGGGTTATAATTTATTTATTTCCAACAAATAAATCGCCACTTTTTCTCGGTGAAGACTCACTCGCCATCATTGTATATATGATACCCTCTTTTCTTTTTGAAACTTCTGATTAAACTTGATCCTTGCAGAAAAATTCATATATTCTTGTTCCTCGATGCTATCAAATCAACAATATATATATATATAGAGAGAGAGAGAGAGAGAGTAGAGGACATATATTTAAATCTATATATGTACGTATGTAAGTATTATGTGTGAACACAGCTAGAGCATATGTATGTGTGTATGTATGTGTGTATGTATGTATGTATGTATGTATGTATGTATGTATGTATGTATGTATGTATGTATGTATGTATGAACACACAGTACTAGAGCATATAAATCTATTTGGAAACATGTTCTGAGGGTGCAAATAATCAAGAATGACATCTGACCACCAAGAAGGTGTCGATCCAACGCAGAGGTTCCTTTCAAGAAGATCAAGAAGCGGCAAAGTTGATCACGGTCAAGACCATGATGGTAACAACGTCAACAAGAATGGTGGGATGCACTCATCATCTTCATCGTCGTCGTCGTCGTCGTCATCATCGTCGGCGGCCGAGATGGCCATGATGATGATGATGATGGTTGGAGGAGGAGGCGACGGACAAAAGGGAGATCCTGCTCCCTTCTTGACGAAGACGTACGAACTGGTGGACGATCCAATCACAGACCACATCGTGTCTTGGGGCGAAGACCAGACAACTTTTGTCGTTTGGAGACCTCCCGACTTCTCCAGAGATCTTCTCCCCAATTACTTCAAACACAACAACTTCTCAAGCTTTGTCCGCCAGCTCAACACCTATGTCTGTATATATTCCACACATATATATGTATACACAGGCATACATACATGTATACATACATTACACATCTGTTTACACATATGTTCATGCGTGTGTGTATGCATTCTTTGACATATGTTACAGGGATTCAAGAAGGTGGTAACAGATAGATGGGAGTTTGCGAACGAATTCTTCAGGAAAGGAGCAAAGCATTTGATGTGTGAGATCCAAAGACGAAAAACTCCACAAAACCATAACCAAATCTACAATATCCATGACCATCAATTCCATCATCATCATCATAACCACTTGATTCCACCACCATTACCATCCCCATTCTTCCAACAAGATCATCATCATCATCATCATCATGCCCATAGCGATCATCATCAATCGCAACTCTTAAATTCTAGTAAACCACCCTCTGATGATATCTTAACAGCTTTGTCCGAAGACAATCAACGCCTTCTTCGAAAGAACCGCATGCTCCTGTCCGAACTCACCCACATGAAGAATCTCTACAACGACATCGTCTATTTCATCCAAAACCATGTTAAGCCTGTGCCATCATCCTCCGACCAAATCACCTTCAAACCTGCCGAACACCATCACGGCAGCGTACAAGCTATTCCGAAGATCAGGGAACTCGATTCTTTACGGGTTCAAGCCGATGAAAACGTTGATCCTCTTGCAGGAGTTCCTAAGATTGGTTCGAGGCTCATGAACACGATGAACTCCAACGCCGAGGACCCAAGTTGCACTGTGAAGCTGTTTGGTGTGTCCCTAAGTGGTAAGAAGAGATTGCAGCAAGAAATGTAACATGTGGTCTGAACTTCCATAAATCGATGCTGCATCATGTTTCTTGATTTTTGCTTGGTTTATTTATTGGCATTTCACAAGGAACGTCGACACGCATTCCAATTTGAGAAAGTTCATGTTAGACTTTAACAAAAAAAACCCAACCAATCGACTATGGAGCATCGAGATTGAGGTGCTCAATCACATGAGAAACGAGAGAACAGATAAAAGAATAATTTTTTTTTAATTAATTGTTTTCTTTTGTTTATTTTTTTTATTGCAGTCTATTTTGGTTTTTCAACAACGAAGATTATATAGCATGCAGTGAATTAATTAAATGTGCAATACATAAAAATCTAAAAAAAAAATGAACGTACAAAAATTGAAAGTGCAATAGTTAATATAATACTCCATCTAAAAAAGATATGGTTTTAGAATTTTTCCTAATTTTTAAGAAAATATTAAAAAAATCATATATACTCTCATTAATTATCATAAATTGGATAAATTTTTTTAATCAAGAATGAAATTACAAATTTTCTTAAAAGTATTTTAAAAAATCTAAAGCGATTTTTTTAATAATTAACAGAAAAAAAATATTCTCTAAAATAACATATATTTAGAAGTAGATGGAACATGCAATTATATATGTCATCATCAAAACAAAGTGAGATATAACGCAGAACTACATATCATTTTTCACTATAAAAAAATTTAAAATAAAATCAATTTGCGGTACAAATGAACACATCTGCATTAGAAATAAGGATTTCCAACGCAAAACTAGTCGAAATATTGACCCCATTGAATTTTTTATTTTGATGGAAATAAGTTGAATAACGTTACAAAAAATAATGTAATTATAACGCAGATTATCATTGGCATTACTTACTGTTATTCAACTCAATTTAGCGGCAACAAGACATTAGCAAACCAAACTCTGAACACAAAAGTTTCAAAGCATATTAAAATTTATGCGTTATTCTAAAAAAAAATTGTGATGAAATTCATAAAGCAATATGCGGATGGATGTAGTCGGACCAAAATGTCGGGTAACCATCGTTATAAATAAAATGTTCCAAATACTAATGCGTGTGTATAGGTATATGTGTATAGACCTCTTTGATTCCTTGTCACGCGCTCATTTGGATGTTTTTATTATTTTGCCCTTGCCAAAATTAGACTGATTCTTTTTATTGTTGTTTGAATCGCGGTAAGTTTTTAGGTTTTTATTGGTTATTTATTAAATTTTTCCAGTCAACAATAATTGTTACTTCGGAGTAAAAAGATTTTAATTTTGAGGATTTTTTTTATACTCTTGTGCTAACAGAAGAGGCCAACATATCTAAGTTTTTATGGGCTTTCTTCTAAAAAAAAATAAAATCAGAAGAATAATAAAACCCTTGGTGAGAAAAATCCTAGCTTAACTTTAACTGATTTAAGGCCAAATTTTAATAAAATCAATAAAATAATCACTTTGCTTATGAAAAAGATTTTTAAATTGATTTCGAAGAGATTATTTGCAATTTTTCTGGGTTTGGCTGGTAGATCCAAGTTTCATCGGTTATTATCAAAAGATATCGAGAAAATTACAGTAAATCGTTAAAATATAATGAAGATTATAATACGATTAATAATATTATAGATTTGATATTATTTTTATATGGTAGTTATTATATTAATTAAATAAAATATTTTGTGATTCTATTTTTATTTATAAATATTTTAATGTTATATTTTGAATAAGGGAAAAAACCCTCAAAATTCCTGAATTTGTAATTTGGTGTAATATAAATTTCTAAACTTGCAGAGGTGCCTATTAATTCTCAAACTTGTAAAATTGAACATGGTAATTACTGAACTTGTTAAACCGTTTCATAACTGCCCTTAATATTAATTGGTCAAAAAACTGCGTTAACCTATCCAACGTCGCATGTGACGTGTATGGCCACCTCAGAAATTTTTTGCCACGTATGTGATTCCCGATTTTTCGAAAAATCGTGGTAAATCGACCAGATTGAACAGTAAACCGGGATTTCAATCCGGTCAATTTAAAGTGGGATTTCATCTAATCACAGGTTTCAATACGCAGACGGCGCAGCAAAAGTCCTGCATCGTGACGTCGTGCGAGGTCAGGATGAGGTACATCCCGTTCCAGTGGTCGACGGGAAAGGATGCCGACTTCACGGCGGTGGCGATAACCTGCTGGATCGAGAGGCGCATGAGGTGGAGGCCGTGGGAGTATCTAGCGTCATTGTACTCGCCAGCGATGAGCACGGACTTGGAGACGTTGGCACCAGTCTGGTCAGTGTAGAGCGAGGCGGTGCGCCACCACTCGGCGACGGAGGGGGAAGGAACTGCGGCGTCGGAGATGGAGTTGAGGAAATCCCTGATTAGGGCCTTGTGAGGGCGAGACCACCGACCGTACCAGATGAGGTAGATGTTGATCGGAGAAGACGACAGGACCAGACCCATATGGTAACGGAGGTGGACGAGATCCGAAGGACCCTCGAATCTCGAAGTGAGCGAGAGGGTCTTCGGGGGAAGCTTAGGGTTAATCCGCTCAATCTAATCTCAGGTTTCAATCCGGTCAATTTACCACGGTTTCTCGAAAAACTGGAAATCGCATACGTGGCAAAAAATTTCTGAGCTGGCCATACACGTCACATGCCACGTTGGACATGTCAACACGGTTTTTTGACCAATTAATCTTAAGGACGGTTATGGAACTGTTTAACAAGTTCAGTAATTATCATGTTCAATTTTGCAAGTTTGAGAATTAATAAATACTTCTGCAAGTTCAGAAATTTATATTATACCAAACTACAATTTCATGAATTTCGTGAGTTTTTGCCTTTGAATAATAATTCTCCAATCAATTTTTCTTTGTGTGTTAGTTATCTCTTATCCTCTTTTTAATCTTCCTTCCATCTAATGCACAAATCTCTCACCCTTTGGTTTTCATCAAATCACCAAAGAAGAGTCGAAAGAAATTCTTCTTCTTCTCCTCCTCCTCTAAATGCTACTGTACTTCCTCGTCTCTTGCCTCTCCTTCATCTTCTTCTCAAAACCTCTCTCTTAAGCCTCTTCCTCCGTGGGCATGTGAAGCCACCAGGACTCTCCTCTTCTTCTGGTTCGACAAGAGACTCTCTCGGATTCAGCTTCAAACCCACCAAGAAGACGATACCCAGAAACCCTAGACCACCCACAGCCTCCGAGGTTGTCTTTCCGGCCGCCGGAGAAATGTCGATTCTTGACCTCCCCGAGCTTGCCCTCCGTTGCATTCTCGATCGGCTTCCTCCGTCTGGGCTCTGCAGCATGGTCGGGGTTTGCAGCTCCTTGAGAGAGAGATGTGTGAGTGATCATCTCTGGCAGAAGCATCTGAAGATGAAATGGGGCAAATTCCTTGGCCCTTCTGCTCATAGAGAGTGGCAACGGTATATTGCTTCGAGGAACAATCTTGGGTTTGTTGATAAACAAACTGGGCATCGAAGGTTTGTCAAATTGGTTTCTTTGTTTTGGCCGATTTCCTCGATTTTTTTATCCAAAGTTGTGGATAGTCACAATTTCAATTGATCTGGAGATGAAAACAAGCAGAGAAAACAGAGTTCTGTTTCTTTGCCTGTTGATTCCATCATGAATTTGTACCTTGCCCTCGAAACCGACCGTTTTTGGTTCCCGGCACAAGTGTTCAACCGCGAGGTAGTGATAGAAACGTTTCTTGCTGCGCAAGTTTCAAATTCTCCAAATGTTTATATTTTGTGGATTTGATGGGCAAATCTTAAGTCGAAACTCTGTTTGTGGTACCTCTATGTTATGCAGAATGGGCATGTAGGGTTCATGTTGTCATGTTATGACGCCGAGCTCAGCTACGATCCTCACACGGATACATTTGAAGCCAGGTAATTTCATTATTTTCCGTGTTTGCCATGATCATCATGGCATAAGAACATGGAAAAAGAATATTTCCAGGTTATGGAATGATTTCTTGATGATATGGATAAATTCATGGAGAATTTCTGTTGTTTCTTGATTTTGAGTATTTTCAGATATACTCCACATGGTAGGAGAGTGGTCGCAGTAGAAAAGGGTGTGACGTGGGAGAGGCTAAGAGCACCACCACTTGATACATCTCCACATCATCTTCATGTCTCGGATTGTCTAAACGAGTTGAAGCCCGGAGATCACATCGAGATCCAATGGAGAGACGGAACAAAGAGTTCCCATATGGTATGTATTTCGATTCAGTTCCCTTGTATAGTCGATATTTTTTTTCTTCCCATCTTTGGACGCTAGATTCAGACAAGAACAGGTGGTTCTAAACAAAGAAGTATGTATATGTGCTGTAGGATGGTGGTATGGAGTTGAATCGTGTGATGGGAATGAGAATCACTGCCATTGCCATCTGAGCGGTGAGTTCTTAATGCTCACGCCCCATTTGTTTAGATCAGATCGAAATAATTTATCAAAAAAGATCGATGCTTTGATGCTTTATTCGTTTCAATGGTTGATCTCCGAGAAACCCATGATGAAAAATGAGGAATCTAACACATCTGTCTGTGTCCTGAAACGACTTGCTATGTCATATTCCATGCTTTACTGATTTCCTCCGAAGCTAAATCTTGGGAGATCAGTATTTCGTCGTTTTTTAAAGCTGATTTTTTTCTTCTGGAATTGTTTCTTTGGACGAGTGGACACCTTAAACATTGGAGAAACCCGATTTGGGTTATGTCCTTTTCTTTGGTGTGGACCAATCTTCATTAGAGTTTTGGTCACGGAGACAAATGACGATTGCTTTGTCTTGGTTTTCTTCGGCATTTGGATGACTTTTGTCTCTGGTGAAGTCACGTCTTTCGCCATCTGATGCTGAAATCTTCCAAATTCCTTCTCCAATGCTCTATAGTTGAAATCATTTTAGCAGAAATGGTGGGGCTAAACCAATGGACCAATAGACTCGTGTCTTTGTGGCCTTGTGGTGACCCACGAAGCCACATTACATCACCACATCGAAAGAGGAAGAAAAAGATAAGATTTTTTTATTCGTCGTAGAAGAAAGATGGGTCGATGTCCTCTGCAACTTGCACCGTGATTGAAAGGGGTTCATAGTTCTTTGTTCTGATTAAGATTATATATATATATATAGCTTTATTTTTACTCTCTTCTGCAATCCTAGAGGAGGATTTCAGATTGGGTGACAAAAGTATGCTGCTAAAATTGTATGAGTGTCCTTCATGATGAACTCAAACAGTCATTGGACTGAGGTTTGAGGTTATCTCTGAAAGAGGGTAGCTTTTATCAGATTCCATGAGCTCAAGTATCATTGCGTTGAATCTTTCCTTGTATGTTCTGTAATGTCAGTTATTTTCTGGTTTAAAAAAAACAGATATGGTATTGGAATTCAATCTGTTTCTGGCCAGCTTCCCTCTTGGAATACAAACTTCTTTAATGCAAACCAAAGTATGCAGCAGCAGCAGCAGAAGGGATAATGTAAACGTAAATGAATCTATTATCTATAGGAGATGTATAGAGAATGTTGCATAGTTCTAATCTTATGATAATTGAATTTTAGTATTTTAGTTGTTACAGATGGATCATCACATACAAAAAAAAAATGTAAATGAATCTATACTCAGTCGCGTGATAATGACATTAGATGATATACCAGGACATGAATATCCATTTCCATGGACATGATAACTTCTAAACAAATTTGTTGGATACATGTATATTTATACTATATCATATAATTGTGTTTTGCTTGTAACTCTTCAATCCTCTTATCGTGACGTGGAGTAACATTCGCTACAATAACGTTTTTTTTTTATAACGATATAACGATCAACTACCAACCAGGAAATAAAAAAAAAAAAGAAAAAAGATTGCTTGCCGTTGCCGCGTTCCTCTTCATCTTCCTCCGAATCCAACGGTCCTCCTTTCTCCTGACTCTTCCTGATGCAAACTTTTTTTTTCTCCTCTTTTTTTTTTTATGTACCGGCCTCGATCTCTCCCAAATTCTAGGGTTTTATCTTCCTGGACACTCCTGTTTCTGAAATTCAGGTTGGTTTTGCCGCTTCCGCTCCCCCCCCCCCCCCCCCCCCTTT